GGGACATCATCATGTAATCTGGGCGAGTCGACACCACTTAAAAATGGTAGTTTCACCATTTCTACGCATTCTTACACACAAAAATATTAACGCAAAAAGGAGCCGTTAGCGTGAACAACAGGCATGCAACCGTTGTCAATGGCCTGCAAGTAAGACAGGCGCAGCTGTTCAAGCTGGGTCTGCAGGAACCGGCATGACGCGGTCAGCAGCGCTGCTGACTCAAAGTGCTAGCAAGAGGGGTACCGGATCATGTGGGGCCGTTTGAGCTAGCTCAACAGGCCCCACGTGATCCGGTACCCCTCTTGCTAGCACTTTGATAAGGCAATCGTGCTGTTCTGGGCCTCGTGGACCTTGTGCTCAATTTACTGTATGCTGCCAGCTGAAACTGCTTCAGCAGCATGGCAGATGATAACAGGCCAACCGCAGTACAGAAGAAACGGAAGCTCAAGCCCTTGAGTGACCCGTTGGTCACAGCCTCTGTGGTTGAGATCGGCGGCCCGACGCGGTGAAAGAATGCCCGGCCCTTGCCCGCCTGCACCGCGTCCCCAAGGGCGGGGGCGGCGCGGCGAGCCACCCAGTCGCTGGGTGGGCACTCACCTGGGGCCTGAGGCTTGCTGATCCCCAGCTGCTGCGATTGGATGGAGGGGCAATGGCAGCCCAGCGTGTGGCCTCGCTGGTTGTGTTCCTCAACCTTACCAAGTGCGGATCGGCGGCCAGCACTCACGGCCCAGCATGGCTCGCGGTGGCCCTGTCCCCCGTCGCGCGAGGAGCACTGAGACGAGGGATGCTGCGCGCATGTCCACCTGCCGCCTCAAGGGCGGGTGCCCAGGGCGGGGCGAACATGCACAGGCTCGCGCGGTAGCACGGTGATCGTGAGCCGCACGTCCTCCATGGTGGGAGCGCCCGTGCTGCGCTTTGCCGCGTGCGCACTTGGCGCTTCAGCGTGCCGGCTGTCCCAATCGAGCCGCCTGCTTTTTCGGTCCGGAGCCCTGACTGGGGGGCAGTGATTCCCGTGCTACATCTCATGCTGTTGAAGCACCACGGCCCGATGTGCGTCGCAAAGGCCGCTGTAAATGCCCCCTTCCCTGACACCCGCCAGCTGCTCTGACGCGTACGGCGCGGCTGGCCCGGCCTCTGCTGCCTCCTTCCTGAGCCTCTGGCGGCTTTCCTCCTGGACGGTGAGAAACGTTCTAAGCGCGGCCTTCGCGACGTCTTTGGCCGAGAAGCAGGCACCGGAAGCACTGTTCGCTTTGCTGCCGTCTCGGGGGCGTTTCCTTTGTTGCGGGGATGGTGCCATTGGTGCCAGCGTGCTTTCGGTTAGAGTGCGCGTCCGGGAGGGCGCTCATGCGAAACAGGCCGTTGGCGGAGGTATAGTGCGAGCCGCTGGCCGGCAGCCCCGTGCTCCATCTTGCGGTGCTGCTCAGCTCGTCGTTCACGATGTCGTGGGAGGCGGGTGGGGTGTTGGGAAGTGGGGCCGAGGGGCGAGGGTGGAAGTCGTCGACGTCGGGTGGTGTTGCCCGTGGCGCGGGTCAATGTGTTTTTGTACATCGGGGATTGGTGGAAGTTGGAGCGGCGTTCAGAGTGTAAGTGGCAGATCTTCCAACTCCAGATTCAAGAGGAATGGCTCGCCATCCCGCTCGGGTCGTCAGCCCTGCCGTGAAGTCCAACCGACAATTCGGAGTACTGACCAATTTGTTGTTGTGGGACCGGTCCGACTGCCACAAGGCGGACCCGTCACCAGGAAAAAGGGCCAAATAACACGTGTTCAAACGTGTACAAAGTTTACGGGTTTGTGTTATTTTCGTGCTTTTAGCGTGCAGAACACTGACGAAATGCATACTCTGTGTTCGCAGAACGAGCTATTTGGTCCTTTTTTTCCATGCAGATCACCCCTGCTGCGGCGTGTTCGCGCCTGTTCCACTCATTATTGGTCATACGACATGCATGTCGACATCGCGTCAAACTGCTCAAATCGCCTATCGTTGTTGAGCTATTCCTGAAATTGGCAATCCTCACGGATTCCAATTTCTGGATGTGCTAGCCGCTCCGGAGCTCCAAGGATCCTTGCAGTGCCCAGCGGAGGCTGAGCGTCCACTCTCTGGAGAATGAATGGATGCATGGCTTGCTCGACAGTGTCCACTACTACCCCCACGTGCGAGCACAACTCCTGCACAACATGGGGTTGTAAGCGTGTTCATTTGTCCGAGTCCGAATGTAAGCACCGTGCTTGTCGTGGCGTGTTTTCTTCGTCAACAGCGGTTTAAAACAAAGCCAATGTACTTTGGCTTGTACTGGAGTTTTACAATGACCCATCTGTCGGTGCGTATCCCCATGACCTGTATCAACACAAACCCCCATACGGCCATCGATTCAGAGGCCATCTCGTCACTCAAAATATAGCTGGTGCACAGAGCATCCCAGAAGTGGCCTTTCATTCAAAAGGATGTGGGGGGACATCAGCAACAGCAATTACTGAATACTAATATCCACAGGCTTGGTTTCTACATTTACGTTTTACGTTTTTACTTTTACGCTCTTACGCGTAAGAACGTAAATTTGAAAAAGGGCTTATTTTTGCGGCTATTTTTACATTTTTGCGGCTAGATGAGACACCCAGGATACACGATGAAAATTGCGTACAATGATCATGATCATTGTAGGATTGATCAGTCCTGCGCCATTTCCAGCACCCGCAACACAATGTCCACTTCGCCTTTGGCAAGGGCGATAATGGCATCAACAAAAGCTCGTTTTCTGCCCTTTCCAGGGCGTATGGATGCCACTCTCCGGACTCCGTAATTCTGTATGTACTATCCTTATGTACACCGGGCAGTTTTTACTTTGTATTTATGTATTTTACGTATTTTTATGCATGTTTACGCTTAAAAGCGTAAAAATTATTTGTACGCGTAAAAGAGTACATTCTATCAGTTCTTACGGCGTAAAAACCAAGCCTGAATATCCATATGCATAGATACGCAGGGCGCACTAAAACGAAGCGAAACCAATCGTTGGATATTGAATCAGGTCAAAAACTGGTGTCTATGATTATGGATATTAACGTGGTTTGGACCTTTCATCCGTGCAGCGAATGCACATAATTTGGGAAATAAAACAGCCCAATTCCAATGACAAATTTAATCCAGGCACTAGCAGAACAGGGTATTTTCAGGACCATTCTAGAATGATGAGAATGGCCTACACTGGTAATAAAATCACAATGGAAGCAATGCGAAATCAACAACATATCAAATCAAAATCTAATACTGCTTTAAACTTGGTGCGAGCCTCCCTTGTTGTTGGTGGCCGAAATTGCGGATCACAACTGTCGGCTTTCGCGATCATGGTCAGTAAAGTTACTGGATTTAAAAGCCAGGTACAAGTGATACTTCTTAAGCGCAACTACGGTTTCTTGCCTCCCTACAACCATCTCCCATTCGCCTGAGTAAAATGAGGACCCTAAAAAATCCCGATAGGCATTTTGGGATGCATGTTAATAGCAAGGAACCATCGAATTAGAACGCAGACTCTCCGCCAACACCAAGAACGGAGTAATGAAGTAAAGAAAGTGATAATCGCAGCACTTTATAAATCACTCAGAAGGTGCTGAGTCCAACAGAGAAAAGTCCGGTATGTCAAATTCAATTCACAGTTCAATCGCTCAATTCCGATTGTTCAGATACTTCAAGTGGTCGTATCAAAATACCAACCCGCACAGCTGCAAATGCAAGACATTTGGTGCAGCCCATTTCGGGCCATACATTTTGTATGTATTGCTCCAGATAGCTGTTGTCTTGACTACTGAATTTTCCATGTTTGATACAGACAGTGCTTGCAAATTAAATATTCCTTGTCAATATATATTAGGGCATATATGCCCTGCCATTCTTTCCGCGTTTCAGACACACAATGGCAGTGCGGTGCGTGCGAGAGGCACATCGGCATGCGCAAGAACTGAAGCGTTTGGCGATGGAAGCATGTTTGGGCAAATTTGTGGACACACCTCTTGCATGAACTTTGAGTACTATTTTGCGAATTTCTGACACTCTTGGAACTCTCTGGGGCGAGGGACAGGAGCAACCATCCTTGATGGCCCCCATTACCCGCATTGCTTCGTTCTGCCGAGCCTCAAACCCGTGTAAATGGCGGGAGAGGCTACATCAGCGTTTTCCTTACCAGCACGGCAGCTCTCTTGAGCTTGTGAAGCTGTCGGAGGGGTGACCCGCGGTCAGTTGGAGTGTCCGTGCCCCAAACTGAATTTGTGGCTTGCTTGTCACTTGAAAAGTGCGTACATCCATACAGTCCATAGCATCGAACGGTGGCAGCAGCTCGCCCGTACTCAACCCCTTGTCGACAATGGATCGAGGTGGCGCAACAACCCGATCGTAGCACAGGCTGCACACACGATCCATTTCTGAATCGCCATCGGGATCGACTTCTCCACAGATCCCATGGATGTACCCATCACACCCAGAGCACTTGTGCATAGTGTAGTGAGGCGGTTTGAGGGGCAGTCTGCATTTCTTGCCTTCGAGGCAAGGCATGGCGGCTCCTCCCACACGCTCAAACTGCCTGTGGCCACGTCTTTTTAGTACTTTAGGTCGTGCCACCAGATACGGCCGATTTTGACCGGCCTCATTGACCGTTTGGCCTTATTCAGGGCGGCCTTAACGAGGCCACCCCGCTGCCTGTATGCTAGGTCCGCGTTGGTAACGGCCTCAACCGGTGAAATCGAACCTTGGGGGCCCAACCCGTTCCCGACGTGCCCGACTGCCACAGCGGCCTGGAGCGGTTGTGGCCCCTTTGTCGAGCGTGGCCACCGAAGCCACTTTCCTACCCCAGCGTTCGCCTCGGCCCCGAACAGCCGGCAGACAGGCCTGTGCATAGCGCGGCCCAGGCCCTGATCCCTTTCCGCGCGAGGACTGGCGGTTGCTGAGCAGCGAGGGAGTCGGGCAGCGGCGCTGTTGGTGGCCATCTCGGGGCGGCCGAGTCCAGGCGGCATGCCCAGCAAGATGCGCCTCTCTGATGGGGGTCCCGCCTTCAGCATGGCCACGGTGATGGACATCAAGGTGGGGGGTGCGTGGTGAAAAGGGGGACCTGGGTGGATGGTCGTCGGGGTGGCAGCGCAGGCGGGGTGAAACAAAAGGCTGGCACTGAATTCCCTGCACTTCTTTTGGCTTCACATGACAAAGCGGAGGCCCCACACCTTGTGGGCGATAATGTGCGTGCACGATGTCCAAATCGCTTGCTTGTCCCGCTTATAATCATGCGTTGACATGTCTGGTCTCCGCCCGTCCGCAATTGTTACAGACAGTGGCCGCCCCGTATCAATGCTGGAGCGCAGGGCCGGTGCAGCGGGCCCGGCGTGATTGGAGCTGTCCTCGATAGGATTTGGGAGGGGTACGTTCATGCCCAGGGAGCGGGATTGTTGGTGGTGGTCGTGGAACCGAGAGTCCTGCACGTGTTGATTGCTTGATTTGTGCGCGCTAATGCGATTGGCGGAGCTGCTTGATGCTGCTTTCTCCTCTGTTGGCGGATGCCTGTCCAATGGACCAGTAGTTTTGCAGACTTGGCGATGCAATCGGACTTGGAGTTTTGCAGCCCACGAAATAACTTCCATTGCACGGCCCTCCTGCTGTCTGCAGTTGATGGATTTACATCTGCCATCGTTCGGTTGTCGGTGAAAAGGCAGGGATTTGTGAAATGTTGGCCCGTGTAGTTACATGGACTGTCTCTCTTCTGCTGGTTCATGTTTCCTTGTCTGGGTGCCTCCCAGGGCTTCATCCCTCACTGTGCTGCCGCAGAACCTCTTGATGCAAGACGTGCGGCTTCAGCGCAGGTTCGCAGGCAGCCGTGCGGATACCCTGCTCAAGGAGATACACCGCCTAGAGGATGAGGTGTGTGTGTGCGTTGCCAACAAACCATCCCCTCTGTGAGCTGACTGTTACACCAAAGTTTCACATCTTGCCTAGCAATAATGTGTTTCTCATAGAATTTGCCCCTGAATGCACCCTGTGGCACACTGCTGAGCTTGCATTACCTGCTACATGGAAAGGAAAGTGTAAGATGAGAATATCTTGCTCATGTTGAAAACAGATTGCAGACCTTGTATGAGAAGACAGTCAGCGAGAAGACAGTCATGATGAAAACGCCCTGCTTGACAAGAAACCTATGGCTTGGAAATGTGCCTGATGGCATCGGGACCCCTTCGAAATGTGGCTGCCCATCACAATCGCCAGATTCTATCAGCTTTGCACTTTGCAAACATGGTTGCAAGCAACGAAGCGAGAAACTGCAGCTGGCACTCCAACAAATCTCACAGTCGTGGCTCCTCCAGCAAAGGCAACTATGGCACGATGGTGAGAGCTTGCAGACATTCCAAGCATAGTTGACCAAATTGATGAAGTTGCAGGTCCAGGTCAGTTTCCAATAATGTGTGGTTGACTCTCCTTCACCGGGTGACGATGTTGTGGTGAATAGCTGTTCCATTGCAACCTTCCAATACAGTCGAAATGGCATGCTGTTGTTTGCTAGGCTGATGCAGGGCAACTATTGTTGTTGCGGTGGTCAGCAAGCAGTGTTGGTGGAGTGGAAGCCTGGCATCTCATTCCACACCCTAACTGATGCACTGTGGTTGCTCTCCAGGACAAGGAACTAGAGAATCTGGTAGAGAATCTACACAAGGAGGTGAAGCAGATTGCGGATGCAGCATCTCGCCTCCAGGACATGGCAGATAAGGAGGACATGGAGGCAAGAGCAAAGAGGGAGAAGTTGAAGAATTGCTTGGAGCAACTTGTGAAGGTGGGCGGCTTGACACTTTCCATTCTGTGTTCTTGTGCAATAGAGACAGGAAGGTGGATGCCTCTATTTGGCGCTTGGGCTTTGGCTGCTGCATATTAGGCTTTTCTGTTTTCCTGCACTACCTAAAGGTGAGCGATGCAGGCCTCAGCACTCTACTGCAAGAACCCCTGCATCTGCTAATCAGCTGTACATTGTGTATCTTGGCTACCTTCCTTCCAGGCTAAGCCTGCACGCCTTGCAGGCTGGCCAAAGATGGGCACCAGCATGGATCGTATCTACAGAGGAATGTGTGCATGGGCATCGATTCGGGGGCGCACACTGGGCACTCCGTGGTGTTGCAGCTCCTGTAGTCTGCTGAACACCATTGACAACCATCGAAGTCACCAAGTGTAGCCCAACATGCACACCAGCGACAGTGGTCAGCCTCCATGCTTCAGACTTGAGAGTTGTAGTATCACCCCTCACAGGCTATTGCTGCATTGCTTGCCTGACCATTTTCAGGCCAAATTGCTCAACAGGAAACATGTTGTCTCAGGTGTGGGTGACCGGAGGTACAGGTTGTCACATAATGCAACCACCATGCTGCATATCAGGGCATTGGCTGCTGCTGCTGCTGCAGTGCAGGACTCAACGAAACTCTGGTGCCATCATTTGCACATTGTGCATCTGGGTGGGATGTGCAGATGAGCTAATTGAAAACGTGCAGACCCTTGCTGGATGGTTGCAATGCCTGTCAGTGCCTTTGAGGTGTAGCAACTTGGAGATGACATTCATGTCGTGCATATCCACTACTCTGCAGTACTGTATTCCATGGAAGTAGATGTGCATGGATATGTGCTTGGGTGCCAGTGGTGTACCCTCAACACTATGGATGAGTAGTTGGAAATGTGGGTCGTCAGATGGAGTTGGTCCTTCGGCGTGTTCGGGACTGAAATGGTGACACTGGCGCTGCAGGACCATGCAGACATACTTTCTGACCCTGACTCCTTTGCCGAAGGCTATAACAAGAGGCTGAAGGAGATTGGCAACATCGTTGATGCCAGCAAGAGTCCCTCTGGCTGCTTGATCGACCTGGAGGAGTCGGCAATGCCCAGCATTGGGACAACCAACCAGACCTCCCCACTGTCGAAGCTGAACAGGGCGCATAGGCGCAAGTTGCTAGTGCAGGTGGGCACTGTGCTGCGCATGCTCACTGATGACCCTAAAACGGCATCCAATTGGTGCTGGGACGTGAGTGCTGAAAGCTGTCGGCGAATTTGCTGCAGTGTGCCAGCAGTGCAGAAGCATGTGCATCCCAAGCCCCAGTACCAAATAACTGCACCAACTGAATCGCTGACTGCAGCCGCTTGCATGATAACGTTTGTTCATCTGATAGAAGCAGTCATTTAAGTTGCTCCACCAATACAACCAACGGCACCTTTGACTTGGTGCTTTGTTTTGTGTTTAGTTGATTTGTTGCGCTTCAACTCGAGGTGATGGTGCTGACCACCTTGCCTGACAACGAAGGGAAATGGACCCAGCGTATCCAGCTTCTAATGACATTGCTGAAGAATCAGTTTTCTGACCTACTGGAATTTAGGACTTGTATATGTGGATAGATTTGCTGTGTAAGGAGCTGTGCAAGAATCTCCTAAGAATTGAGAATTCCAAGAGGCGTCCCACTGTGGCCCGGCCAGGCACGCAGCCACGGTAGAGGCCATGGGACCTGGTCCGGAGCTGTCTTCCAATCCCTATGACTGGAAGGGACTTGTGTCCAGGCCTTGAGCAACCCTTCCAGCCCCTTGGCATCCACTTGCACATTTCGCTGACACCAGCTGCACTCGAATGCAGTGCGGCACCATGCTGAGTGGTGCGTTGTGCCCATAACTTGGTTGTTTGACGTTGAGGTTTGCGATCCTTTGTTTGTTGTTTGTTGTGTGTGTGTGTGTGTGTGTGTGCATTGGCATGCCAACCACGGCTGTTGACACCGCTTTCTTGCAGGTTGAGCTGGACAGGATAGAAGAAGAGCTGAAGATTGAGATAGAGCGCAGTGCGGTGTCGGAGCCAGCGTCGCACCCTGTGTTCGGCTCCGATGATGACGAAGATGACGTGGACTTGCGTGTGAATGATGACGGTTCACTGCAGTCCAGGGTGAGCGATGGAGAAGGTGCCAGCGAAAATGACCTTTTGGATGATGGTGGGGATAGTGCATGCCGGCTGGGTGGGGAGGGGCCGAGGGGATAGGATGGGGCGACAGAAGCTTCATGTACGGATTGATATAGATTACAAGAGGCACATGCGCGGCCCATCTTGCCAATCTAGGCAGGTGGAGCTGCGCAAAACGTTTGGCTCTGCACTAACGTTTTGGTGTGCATGGTTTTCTGTTGGCTGCGGGATTTGGGGACGGTAACCTCCAGCACATGGTAGAAATTTGGCTGAGCTTACGATTCATGGGAAGCTGGTGGTGTTGACCCCTGACTCCACTCTGAGGATTGATAATTGGGATTATTTTGTTTCATCGGCGGTTGCCCGTTGCGAAGGCTATTCTGTTGCCGTGGACGTTTCCTCAGCGCATCCACAGCATTGCATTGCCATGCGAAATCCTGCCCCAGTTGTGGTTGTCCGGATCAAAGGGAAAAGTGCATTGACTGCGCATGTTCCAAAGTACACGTTCAAAGCTAGACTTCTGATTGGGACGAGGGCTCTGGTCCCGTGTTACTTCAGCCGGGTGACGGCCCACCAGTTCACAGCCATGTGATGCTTGCAGCGGTCTGACAAGTGAACCGCGAGACAAGCCCCACAAACTCTGAATTTCTGTAGTTACTTGATTCGCTGACAGTTTATCCATTCAAGAAATGCAACACACCGAGGCAATGGAGGCAGCCTTCGGCTCACTATTCTGCCAGAGAAAAGTAGTGTCCAGATTGGACATATTGGCCGGATTGCCAGCTACAATTTGTTGCGGCGCGCATGCACTCTCTCCCTGCGCTTCGGACATATTCCTTCGATGAGCGCACACTGTGCCTCCGCGGCACTGATGCACAACAAGTGAAGACGCGCAGCCAGCACGGTCACACAAATGTCTCATATCATTGATTTTCAGACTTGAAATCACGAAAGGCCTTTGGATTTTAGGGTATTTATGGTTTTCGTTTTTTTTCTGGTTGTTGGTCCTAGTACCTCTTCATAAGGACCTGCCTAGGCGAGTGAGGCAGGCGGAAACCCAAATTCAGAGTACGTTATAGCAACACACTTTACAATATTTAACGCCAGATTGTAAATTGTTCTCATTGCTCGGTAGGCTTATTTTAATCCACAGTAAAAGTAGTGAAAGCGTAAGCATAGGGTGAATTCTGAGAAGGGGATAAAGTGGAACAAGCTGTGCTAAATGAAGTGATAGTGGAAAGCATTTGGATGGAAAAGAAGGAATTGCCACCACATTTGCTGATAAAGCCAGGATTTTGTTGGTCCCCTATTGAATTTCAATGATTTCTTGTTACTCACTAGCATGACTGCAACAAGTTCCTGAAGGAAGCAGGGGAATTCATCTAGAAAGTGCTGACTAAAGTTCACCCAGAACCTACTATGATTATCAGAGGAGCAGGAGCTGCCTGTTGGAACTACTGAATGGTCTATAGTGAGAGCCAAGGAGGAAGGGGAAATTTACGAGTCGGAAGGAATACCTTTGGGCGAGGGATTCCATGACAGCTGCATTGAGGCCATGTCTATTGGGTGATTCATGATTGATAGGGGATCATCACGAGGGGTCGTTGAGTATCTGGATGACGTTCTGGTGTTGTCGACTAGACTGGTGTCATACACATTGGGGCACATCTTTCGGCATCTTTAGTACTTAACTGTTGATCGTGTGTGGGTCATCGATGTCTTTTTTGTGGGAGCCATGCTCTGTGCTGACCTTAGCACTCATGTTGGAAGTTTTCTGATTAGTGTGTAGCGTGTTTCTTGAGCTTGACATGCAAAGGGTTCTATTTCGACCAGAGGTGCATGTGCAACTGGTCAGAGTAGAGAACTTTGGTGAATAGTTTGAGAACGGTTCTGGAGAGGGTAGCCTTGGATTTGCATCAAAAGGGGATTGACGTAACCAAGAGCCTGTATTGTGGTGTGTTGTTACTATGGGAGCATGTCTATTGAACATTGCAGCTATGTGCTATTTGTTGCATGTTCTGGATGCTTTGATTTTGTAAATGCATTTTTCTCGCCTGACATATAATGTGTCACATATTTCTAGGACGGTGATTAAAGGCCAATAATGGCAATCATGCATAATGCCCTTCAACAATACGGTGTGAACTTCGCCTGCTGGTCTTGAGGCCCAACTTCCTATGTGTGAGCGAAGTGGCTAAGGGGCAAGGGGCAAGTGGCTCCCCTGCTCTTGGACAGGGCTAGCGCAAAGGCCAATCATGCCGCCTAAAATAATGGCCTGGATGGCTAGGCCTTAAGACCGATGGGGGGTCCCCTCCATCATCCTTTGGGGCCATATTTTTTAGCGCAGGCGTTGAGAGCGGGATGTTTCTGGGCGGGAGCCTTGAGCCCTTCACTTCGGCGCAGACTTTCCAGCCTACCTAACCTACTGCTGGCTTTCTTAGCTGGCCGTTGTGCTGCTTGGCGTTAATTCTCGCTGGCCTGTGAATTCGACTGCTGTCACGGACCAGATCTTGATGCACAGAAACGACCTTGGTGGCGATGCACAAAAGCGGCCTCGCTGGCGAGCATTTGCTCTTGGAAAAGTGTGTGCAAGTCTCCCCCAGGCAGGTGATTGAGCACCCAACGTCTGTTTGCGTGGTGCCCCCATCGACCTCGCGCCATGACCAGATCTGTGTGGCCCCATCAAGTTCATGAGCGCAATGCATGGAAGCCGCGCATCCCTCGCAAGGACTTCAACCAGAATCCGCCTGCAGCCGTGAGTCGAGACCGTCACTCGACAGTGCCGCAACCGCAAGAGCGCCCGCTGGCCGCCGACCTGGTCCTCCCACAAGTTGACAGAGACTTCACCGCGGACTCCCAAGGCAGGTGCACATTTCTCCATCACAGCGCTGTACCGGACGGTGGCGGCTGCACTTTTGGGGGCTCCGATACGGGCGAGATAACTTTGCCAGAATGTCACTCGGCCAAATCGTCACCGACCCGTTTGGGGTGGGTTGATGCGTCTCAGCCGCGCGAATTGCGCCGTGGTATCATTCTCCAGGCGCTGTGCACGGCGGATACTGGATTGCGTGTTACAGTGGCGATTCTACGGATGACAAGGCAACATCCGCAGACCGGTGTTTCGTGGCTCCTGTGAGTTTCACGCGCATGGGAGGTCATTTGAACAACCCCTCGTCCCGCGTCTTCAGTCTCGGGCGGAAGGACTCGCTGGCTGCATCGTTAGATGAACGGGGCTTTCGCAATACACGACTCGTGTAACAGCAGTCAAGGGTGTTTGCAAGCAGCCCGTAACAGCATCTTCCACAACAGGCTTTAAACGTCACGGTGCCACGGGCAGTGTTCTTGTTGCAGTCTTCCAATGTGACGCAAGGTTAGGAACTTCATGTGCCTTTCACAGCCTGCAGATGGGCACGCCTATTGCTGACACGAGTCGATCCCGGGACTGAGGAAACGGGGCCAAGGACGTTCTCAGGCGAGGAACAAATAGGAACGGCAAGCATTTCGTAACATAAAGTAGGCGTCACAAAGCGAAATATTCGGTGCCACCGGCGCTGCGAATGCCAAAAAAACAAGGGCATTCAATCTTGGTTCTCTGTTCTACCGTATCAAGTCTCAGCTCGCAAAACAGCCCCAAGCCCCCAAGAACAACCCCGCTCTTCCAAGTTCCAATGAAGAAATCCCTTCACCACCCGCTACATACTATCTCCGCAAAAAGGCAAACCCGATGCAGGGGTGGTTTGTGGCATTGTGCGGCTGTGACGTGTGTCTGGATCCCCTTCACAGCGACGTAATCTACCAATCTTCTCGTTGCGGCCCCCCTGTCAAACCCAACCTTGAGCCGCCACCCCCAGCTTGGTAGGGCCCCACCGCCCACACCCGACGACCTGCATGCTTCGAAATTGACGCCCAGTTCCTCTCGTCCTGTCGGTAAGTCACCTCGGCCGCGCCTTATTAAGGCATTCCCGGTACATCCGCGTGCTCAAAAATCAGCTGGCTCAGGGGAGGGCAGATATCGGGACGTAGGTGAGGCAGGTATTGGGGCCCAGCACCCACTGTGCCGGGGGGGCGTTCTTGTTGTCCGGGCTGCCAAAGGTGCCGTCCCTCTCCAGGGAGGAGTGGCGTCTGGGGGCCTCCGGCGTAGAGTCGCCGCAGCCAGGGATATTGAGTTCGCCGGTGGTGAGCTTGTCGGTGACCCAGGGGAACAGGGTCCACCGCCCGTCTTCCTTGAGCTCCCTGCACGACGGGCAAAGACAACGGGCATCGGCGAGCGGCACAGGACGTCTACTTCACTAACTACTGAAGAAACCTCGACAATATGCCGCCGATTTGGGCCACGCGAAATGGTTGTCGAGCCTTGTTTGAACGTGTCAATGCAAACGCGTGCGGCCGAAAGGGACAAGGAACACGCGAGAGTTCAACTGGCCTGGTTCGAGATGCAATGCACCTGACAGGAAATGCGCAGACATGTTATGACGTGCAATGCACCGACAGGAAAGGAGGTGCTAAGAGGCACGTGCTTGCTACCTGTCGCACTCCAGGAACTCGGAGCCGTCGGCGGCGGTGGCTGGCCTGCATTTTTCGGGCCTGTTGAACTCCCTGCTCAGTTCTCCCTGCTTCGCGTCTCGGAACGTGTCGAACTCCGCGACGGTGATCTGGCCCACGGGGATGGGCTCGTTGGAGATGTTAAGAAGCGGGCGCTCGACCTGGCTGAATGGTCCGAAGAAGCGGCCCGCCAGCTCTGATGGACGCAAACAAGCACGAGTCAGCGGCTGCATTTCGGCCTGCTTGTTGGCAGAAAGCCAGGCGAGAGATAGTATTCCGGAACAGGCCGTTAACTCCCGCGCTTGCCTTTTAGAAGGGTGGGTTTTGGACGATCGAGCTGACAGTGCATCGCAGCTTTCGCAGCCTCCAAACGACGCTCTTGGAAAAGAGAAGAACGCCGGCGGGGGGCACAAACCAGAGCAAAGTCACAGGCCAACCAAGCAGGTACGGCAACGCGGGCGCTCACCAAGGTACTCCTCCTGGCGGACTTCCTGGGCGGCAGTGATGAGCCCCCAGTAGAACATGCCCAAAAAGAGGTACAGGCAGGCGACGGCATACACCATTAGTCCTGAAAGGTAGCAGAACACAACGGTCAGCAACGAACCGGCACGGTCATGCACCTGTGGACGGACGTGCACACGATCGTGTCGACAGACCAAACGGCGGGCCGCACAGTGGTCAGGCGTCGCTGATAGGGTTCGCGAGCGGTGCGCGGTGTCGTCGGGGTCACTTACGGATATCGGGCCAGCCCACCCCGCAGCAGCCGTATCTCGTGCACCCCTTCGTCGGCTCGGGCTCCTGCAAATCAGCACACAGCAACGTCAAAGCTGCGCCTGCACGATGAGATGCCACAGCCCTTTTGCCGCGAGAGACTGCGCCCCACGCCACACCCCTGGCCAAGGTTGGCTCACGAACAGCGCGACACCGCGTTCGCGGAATGGAAAAGCAAACAGGACCGGGCGCGGGGCACGCCGTTCACCTCTGTAGCGCTCTGTGCTTGCGGCTAGCCCCGCAGGCACTACAGATCCGCAAAAGATCCCCAAAAAGCGAAATGTCGCAACTCCGCTGCGCTGAGCGCTGCGCCTTTGAGTCGCTCCGCGCGGCGAGCGCTGAGTCAATCAGCACCGTCCGCAAGGCATTGCTGGCCCGCAACGTCGGACGCTGGCTCTTACGCGGAAAGAGCAAACGGGTCAGCGCGGGGGGCGCCACACAGCACGCAGCAAGCCCTACTTCAGCCGAAAAGCATCATCGTTCGACGATTCCACAAGCGGCGGCGCTCCCGAGCACTGCGCGAGTCGCCAAAGCGGCGCGGCCCTTCGAAATCGCCACAGGCCCCCGCAATTGCGCAGTTCGCGCTGGCCAAGGTCGGGGATGCACCGGGTCGAAGTGTGCAGGTCACAGCAAAGGTCAATCAGCGCCGACGATTGCCGCGGCAGGTGCGGGCGGGCAGTGCTCGAGCAACGCGCACTTTCGCCGAGGCGCCGCTGCGGACCAGCGCGTGCTGCAGCGCGATCCGCCCCAACCGCCGCGCGTCGGTTAAAAAACCCCAAGGGGGAGTTCACTCGGCGTGGCATGGCGCTGGAGACGAACAAAACGAAAGCGCCAGAGTCACGCCGCTGCGAGGCGCAGGCGAGGTGCAGGCGCCCACACTCGGGGCTGGATATTCGCCCAGCGGCGCGAGATCTCCTGCAGTCGCCCCGGGCCCAAACGGGCCACATAACGGGTCACAAAACGGGTCACGCGAACGGACCACTACAACAGGCACCGCACCGCCGCGCCGCGCCGCGCCGCGAAACTCACCCAATCCTCGCCCATCTTCGAGGAGTACTTTTTATTGCCGGTCAGCGCCTGCGAACTCGGCCCCGCTGCAATCTCCATCTTCCCCATGTTTGTGTTTCTGCGGCAGACCAAGAGAGGTGCTCAGCGACCCCGGACACACAAACCCTCGACCGACCAACACGAGGCAATGCGACCGGCAAGGCGGCGGTCGCCGTCCCCAATTCACACAGGCGGAACCTCAGACGCGCATACTGGCCCACATCTCGCACCAGCGCCGGAACATTGACCACGGCCCGTCGACAGTCGCAGCGCCCAACATCTCCCCCGAGCCCCAGCCAAACCACGCCTCTTCGCTAACATTGCGCCCGCAAACAGCCGCCCCACGCCGCATCCGCGGCCCATCAACCCAACCCGCCAAACTTTGTCCATCATCACCCGCAAGCGCGCATCGACGAGAAAGGAACAGCACAATCCCCTCGCAACCGGGCCCCACCCCCCCCGCTTCCCCAGGCCCCTCACGGAGGCACGCTCACCTCCTCGCAGCCGGCGAGGCGGGCGAGGTTGCAAGCGGGCGGCAGCGGCTCGCCTGGGACGCTCAACACACGGCTTGGGCACGTCAAGGCCGAACGGGGGACTTCTGTGGCTTTGAGCTGATTTCATGCGAGCCTGTTGGTGGGCTTATTCACCCCGGCGTGGTGGGCCCGCCAGCCTGGAGCGCCGAGGGCCAAGGATGCGGACGCCGTTGATCCTCGTCCGGGGGCGTACCGGCGCCGGGGGCCCCCCCGCCGCAGACGGCGATCCCCTGCGTCCGCGTGTGGACGGGACATGCGCGCCGGCCCATGAACATGAAGCACATCAGTCACCGACTGATCGGCACCGGCTTTGGGGGAGCAATCCGGACTCCGCTTTGTGCACAATGTACGGAGGTGTGGTTCCGGTAGCCTCTGGGTCGGTCAGAGTGCGGTGATCCGCGGCTCTGATCAACGCTGATCTTGCCGGTATGGATGTTACCCGGGCGACGGACCGCCGTGCGGAGCAGGCCGCCCCTCGTTTGTGAACTTTTCTGAGACTTTTTCGGACCCCGACTCTGAGTGCCTGAATCCTGGGACCGCTCGTCCGATGTTTTGCGGCCAGCAGCGCGGCGGAAACTTTTGATGGTAGGGGGCGGATTGGCGTGATGCGGTGGGGAGTGGCGCCGATGTATTGCGCCTGCCTATTTTTGCACGAAGAGGGGGCTCAGGCTAAAATGGAGCAGGAACTCCATTGATTCCATTGACTGCATTGGTTCGGCTTGGGCGCAGGCCCAAGGCGCCCTGGGCGGGGCGCCCTTGGGGTGGCGCCTGCGCACGGCGCGGGTGCGCCCCAAGGGCGAGGCCACGGCCGCAGTTTGCGCCGCGGAGTGGAAGTGCCGGTGTGCTGTGTCTGGCGTGCCGTCTGCGCGGGCAGGCCAGGTGGAGGCGCAGCGACAGAAACTGCGGGGTGCCTTGCTGGCAGTAGGCCTGGGACATCCCGCACGGCGTTGCCGAGCGAGCTCGTCGCTGTGCGGAAAGGCGAGGGCGGAGGAAAGATCACGGAGCAATGGCGGCGTCTGCCCGAGCCAGGGACAATTCAAGCCTTTGCTGCTGGCGGGGCGACGTCCCTTGTCGTCTCGCCGATGGTGTCGCAAGGATAGCACACCTATGCCGGTTTCTGGACGCATCGTTGTGGTCTGGGGCGCGTCCATCGTGCGCGGAGGGGGGGCACCTTTGAGAGCGGCGCAGCATGTTCTTTCACTCGTCTTTTTGTTCCACACGTCAGGAAGGGCGCGCCAACTCGTGGGACGTAAAACAAGGTTTTGAAGAGGGCACGTGGTGCCTGCCTGCAGACTTTCTGTTCTCTTTCCTATATAACTAACCCACACGATGTCCAATTCAAATTGAACTTGCTGGCACGTTGGCCTGATGACACATGTGTGCGTTGATACGCACAGAAGCAGTTGATCGGCAGCAATCATGGCCTCTGATGTGTTGTTGGAGGCTGTGCCATCTAGGAACACAGCCATCGAACACGCGTGTGCAGTAAGGATCTGGCCGGAATCCCCTGTCGTTCTTGTAAAATGTTTATCTTGTCCATCGTTGGAAGCAAACACAGCATACTGACAATTTTGATGGTTTTGCCTCAAGAGGATACCAGGGCAGGGCATCCACCGATGCTGGCGCCAGTCTGGCAACGCTGGCAGCAGCTAATGTTCAGTCTGCACCAAAACTATTGTGAAGGGTTCCAAGTATGTTGCCCCATGAAAATGGTGGACATTCCCTTGTCAGGAAGCATGGTATTGCTGGCTGTCATCGTACAGCACTGAATGCAAAATTGGCAGATGATATGGTTTCTGAGTCGGACCAGCAGCCGAGAAACACATCTTCCTCCAACTTTGAGCTTCTGCATACTCCATTCTGCATGCCACGACTGCGCCAACGACTGCAAGATGGTCACACTGATGGCCTGGATTGCAAGGATACAAGGTGCTCCTGCTGCCGTATCCAGACAACGCTGAAATGGGTCCGCCAGCAGAATACCTGAATGGTCGATGTTCTCCAAGCTGGCACAATTGTCCGTCTCAGAATGTGCAAGAGTCGAGTACACAAGCGCCTCGCCATGCAATGTGCTGGTCGATTGCGCCACCTGCACATCATCTTTCAATTGAGCTTGACTTGACACAGCCAAGAAAGGCCCAACACAGCTGCCATTCCAGAGGCCAAGCACCACACTCAACTGCATCAAAAGTGCGACCCAACACCCAACCCCACACGTATGTTCTCCAATCACGCGAAATTTCGACTGCACAGCAGCTATTCACATAAAGACGAGCTCACTGCACCAAATCTCCAACTGCCACAGCCGTACCAAGCGCCCTGGCACACGTGGCATCGAGATCCGACGTCCTGCTGTTCTTCCAAGGCCACACACCAACCATGCATCTACTTCTAATGCCACTCAAACGCCCAAGTAAATTGCAGCCACATCGCCTGGCGTGTGCGCTGCAGCGCATCGCTCCAATCCCGCCACCGGGCTAATTGACCTGCGCACCCACCAGCGGGCCCGCAGAACTTGTCCCCCATAAACCAGCAGACAAAAGTCAGCATGTGCACCGAGTCGCACAAGCGCCAGCGCCTCCCCAATGGCACAATGGGATCAGCGCACTGCCTCTGGGAAATGACAAGGAAACTAGAACTTGGCTGAGGCGATCTCATCCTGTGCCTTCTTTAGCAGCTCCAGCCGTCGTTTGCAGGCGTTCCTCCTGCGGGTCACGTCTGGGTCCTCATGCAGCAGGCGCGACAGCTCCCCCTCTTCCCTGCCTGCAACATCCTCTTGAAAGGGCTCCAGCAAACCGCCCTTGGCCTTCAGTACCTGTCAACGGCCACGAATGGGCATCTCTTACAATGCACAGCACTACCACGTCCAGTGCATAGAGGCCAGTAGCGGAGCAGCAAGCAATCATCAATTGGGGCAGCAGAGTGAAAGCTCTTGCTGTGATTTCTCATCTGCCTTTGAATCGAAGGTTGTCACAGGTAAGCGTTTGGAAGACATTCCTGAACTCCACCACATCCACTTTCCTTGTATCTTTCAAGTCTACAGCTGGGTTAACACGTAGGTCCCGTGGAATCATTCATCTGACACGAGCTGGTGGCAAGCAAGGGGAAATGCATGCCTACCTGTGTGTGCACCACAGCCTTTGGGACTGTGTTGAGGAGCTGCCTCCTGACGAAATTGAGGTATGCCGAGACTTGTGAAGCTATCTTCTTCAAATAATGCTGGCCGCCCTGGTCCGACATCAGCCTGTCACTGATGTCCTTCCCTACAGAGTGGAGGTTGCTCTTAGACAGTGCTGAGAAAAAAATTTGAAACATTCGACATCTCTCATGTAACAATGATGGTGAATTCCACAAACAATGGCAACACAGGCCCTCTTACGTTCATGGTAGGGGAGCAGCACTTTGCCATGCCAACAAAAAAACTTGGTTTGCAGTAAGCAACATGGCAGCGAACATGCGTCCCAGCTCACAATGCGTCCAACCACAATACAAACTGCAGCGTATTAATTTCTCTTGGCCCTGCACAGTTTGGCCAGATACTGCAACCTACGCATCCAACAAAGTTACCTCAATTCTCCCACAATCAAAAACCTAAAACTCTCTCGTGCCTACGTTCTGAAAGTGGCCACTGCATTTTGGCACACATGTTGTTGGTGCTGGTAGTATGTCTGTGAGCAGAAGATCCGCATGTATAGAGGAAGGTACCCAAAATGGGACAGCAGATTCCACAATTCATACCCGAAAGGGTTCTGAATTCCTTCAGGGCTATCCTGGCTTCATCGCTGGAATTAGCTTTCGATTGCAGCTCCATGATGTGCCGGAAGATGTTAGCGGACATGTACGACGACTCCATCTCCACCAGAGTCTTGACCATTACGTGCGCACTCTCCTTCAGTTCCTCTAAGGCCACAGCCACACACGTCCAACAATCAGTGTGGAGTCTATAGTCAATGACACGTTGCTCACGTTTTCCACTCGCGCTCACACACGGTCGCTCCCAGGCACGGGAAGCAAGCCGCGACCAGATGCTGTTACAGAATGATTGTTCCAGTCATGTAGTGTCCGCTGCAAGCGTGTCCAACCCATGTCCCTCCCCATCGTTCCCCATTTCACCATACTTAACACCGTATTTAATTCACCATAAGAACTTCATCCTCCACGCAATAACTTATGTATCTTTTTGTCTTCACAGTCAATATTCAAGAAATGGCGTTCTCCAAGTACAGTTCAGATTTGCTCCTGCCTGCAATGGTAGCCTGGGCCGCAGTTGCACTACAGTATGCAGCAACTGGTGCAGAGTGGTGCTACAATCTGCATCTGGGCCAATCAACCCGCATTGGGTTTGGAGAGACTGCCGAAAGATAGAAAGGTCGGATAACGAGAACAGTATTGCCAACAAAATACCATCGTGTTGTTCTCCCTTCCATGCGTCTCGTTGCACAGCATGCTGCCCTTTAGTGTGCACATTTTAGTACAGGGCCATCATTGGACGCCTCCATCGCAGTTAAAGCACTTTCTGCGGGTAAATGGGTGGACTAACGTGAACATCATCTTCATGCACGTTGCTACGAGACCATGAAAGAAGGGCATGTTGGACATGTGCACATGACCAATGCGCACACCGCATATTTCTTCCAGGGGTAGAGTTGCTGTCTTGGCACCATTGTGTCAGTGCTGACTGGGAGCATGCGCCAACATAGGCCCTTCCAACAAATGAATGGGCACTTGCAACTGTCAACAGTTTGAACAGGAGTAGAATGGCATAACATTTGAGCAAGTGCGCCTGGCCAGCGGCATGCACAGCTTCATCATGCAGAAAGCTGCAACAAGTGCCCGTTCTGATATACTTCAACAAGCACAGCTGCGCACAGCTAGACTGGTGATCATTTTGCCATGCATGTACCCACCCAGCCTTGTGATGGCACAGTTCTGGATCTCTGACACCAGCATGGAGTACTTGGACAGTGCTGCACAGGTCTCGCTGGTCAGCGCCTTGTCGATGACGGAGAGCAGGATCCTGTGGACCTCTTCCACAGCACCCTGGGCTGGGTCCCGCATGAGCAGCAGCCCAGCCTCCAACAGTCGCCGGTACCCAGCCTCTGGAGCGATCAAGTGTGGCCTCAGGCCGTCAGCCTCCGAGATGATCCTCCTGACGTTCTCCACTGCCAGGATGTCATGGAAGGGCAGGGCATGCAGGTCCGCATGCAGCTTCCTCTCAAACACACTGAGAATGCGCTCACCGCCTGTAACAGGATGAGCATGAGGAGGTATGAGCACTGGCGATGCTCATCATCTGAGACCTGCCCACCATTGGCAGGCCCCCATAAGAGCAAAGAGCCTGACACACTTCCCAGGGTATTCAAGATGATGTGGACATGAATGCCAGTAAGGATATCAAAGCACACCATATGTCAGACACCGATTTGCATGTGTCAGGCAGGCTGAAGCTGAGCGCAGGGGCGGCCTATACAACAGTTTTGCAGGAACTTTGCTGCAGAATCGCAGGTATGAGCCATCTTGTTGCTGAAAGATGTCGCAAATTGCTGGGCAATGGCTTGCTTCCAGTATTGGGGGGGATTTGGGTCGCTCCTGCCCTGTTGGTTGAAGGAAACTAACTGCACAAAAGTTGGCAAAGACGGCTGTGTGACACCATAAGCTGAGAATGCAGCAGGTACAAAAGCTGCAACCGCACCTCCTTTGCCCTGGTCCACCAAGCTCTTGAAAGCAGACTCGAAGTCTGCTGTTCTCTTCAAAATGAAGTGCAGCATCTGTCCTCGAGAATCCATCACAGCAGGCCCAAGCGCTTCGCACTCACGCTCCAGGGTAATTATGCTGTTGCAAACACACATCCAGTGCTCAGCAATTGAGTAATCGGGATGGTACCGAATGCACTTATGCTTAGGCAACAACGTTGCCTTGAGTATGTGCAGATATGTCACTCATGGGAAAAGGATACATTATATGTCCTTTGCTGTTGACTCATCTTCAATGGACTCGCCTTCAAAAACACAAAGGAGTTGAAGAAAATCTGGAGGCCACTGAGCACGCTGAATTCAGCGTGTGGTCTGTTTTGACCACCTCGTGGCCCCTCTGGTACTGAGGACAGCAAAACACCCAAAGCAGTCACAGACAGGGTCCATTTCCAAACATCTATCGTTGGCCATCCAGTTCAATATCACCCCTGGCAAGCACCAATTTCTTCCTCACTCACTCCTGCTTGATGGATGCCATAATGGATGGCAGGGCCTTCTTGATTTCATGCAGAAGGTGCTTGCTCAGCTTCTCTGCAAGAAACCCAGTCCCAATATTGTCCAAGTGCCTGTAGTTCGCTGAGCCGTCGAAGAACTCTCGTTCTCTCTTCCGAGCATCCTGCATGCTCATCTGTCTCGGCAGTGCACAGAAGATCCCAATTAGATGACAAAGTCGTGTAGAAACCCAATAGCATCCACCTTTGGAAATGGACTGCAGACTGCTGTGCACTTCCAAAGCCGCACAAACAGCATGCCACATGTCATCTATACAAAAATAACAGCAAAGTTTCTCTGCTTCCTTCTATTTTGTTCTTCCCCCTATAACTCCCAAATCTAGCAAGTGCATTTCAGGGAAATGCCTATACAACATGTTTCCAGTCCTGGCAACAAGTTATTCCTGTTGCATTGACACCCCACCTTCGAGTTTATGTCTGCCTGGCCCCTGTTCACCACACCGACCCATCCGTGCTTCAACCTCAACGTGTCACCCTCCAGAATGTCACGGACGGACGTCCCTCTGTCCATTATGTCAATCTTCGTTAGAACGCCAATGGTGCGATCGCCACTTGGGTCCACATCCCTTGCCAGCCGGAGGGCATCGGATGTGGCCAGATCTGCATTAGCAGGCGTCACGGCAAGCATGACAGCACTCTCCACAGTAACATATTTCCTCACCATCTCCTCTATGTCCTGCACGATGGTCGCAGGCTGACCATCAATTGGTACCTTTGTCAGGCCTGCATATCCAGCACACAACGTTGACTGCAAGAAAGGGAGCACCATTTGCACGTGACACAAAAGGTGGGGTGTAGGGATATGCACAGATAGGAAAAAGCAAATGCACTTGAGGAACAACTGGCCTTCATCATATTCTCGGCTTTGCCCAGCCAAGGCAGCTACAATTCAGGCATCGACTTCCGAACATAGTGGATAGCACTGTTGCCTTCCCAGGCAGTCACATGTCAGCATATCAAGTGCGTGTTGACAGATGCAAGCAATGGATGGCTGCAAGGCAGCCTCTGAAGTGACTTGGGTTACCATAGACACTGCTGCTGTTGCCACTGAAGTCACCTTTTGAGTTCAGTGGCCATGGAAATGATATGTTCTGTGTTCAGCTCTGCACAATTTGCTGCAGAGTGACTGCTGTTACTTGCTCTAGTCTGGAACCGTCTTGTTCAAGGTGCACACGTATCCAACTGCCAGCATTGTAAGGCAATCGACAGTGTCTATGGTTAATTCTACTGGCACCAACACCTGCACACACATGTGTTGCATGCTGTTTGTCACTTCAGGGACACTACACCGATCATGTGAATTCTGCAGATGTACAGCCAGCCATAAAAAGTATAGCCCAATTGCAGAGCATGCACACTCCACTAACTGTGCCAGTTTCAAATTGATCATTGCACATTGCCCAGGGTTGCGATCACAGTTGTTTGGGACATCTCAGAAGCGTCACATAGGAGTTTTTTTCTACAGCTTACGGTCAATGTTTGGCCTTATGGTGCATATTGGGTGTGGCAGCAGCATATGTACCAAAGCCAAAGGCAAAAAAGGTGAGGCCTTGCAAGAAAAACAAGCAAAGATGTGCTGGACACAGATTCAAGCATATGGTCTGTCAGTTGCCAGCCACCAAGCAGTGCCCTGTACTCAACGAAAACACTAAACACGAATTCAAAATATAAGAAGACAAACAAAATTGATATGGCAGCAGATTGTGGGAAAAGAGCAGACCCATGTGATATGGTGTGCTCAGTTGAGTACCTGGCATATCCACAAGCGTCAAGTTGGGCACATTTGGAGATGAGACTGTTAGATGGATGGGCTCTGGGGAGACAGCCTTTGTGGCCTTGTTCCCAAGGGCCCGTTCTGTCTCGTCCTCGATCTCCTGTCGAATTTGTTCTGCAAAGATCCATGGCAAACAAGGCCTCACAAAACCTTAGCAATAACACCACATCAATGAAAACATGCTCAAAACAGTCTGACCGCATCACCCACAAAAGCCATGCAGCAGACCCACAAATCTCGCTGCAAACAATACTGTTGCACAATCGGCCAGATCCAAACTGCTCAGACTTGTCATTTTGGCCTTGGGTGACTGCTCACCAAAGGGCCCACAGTTCACTATCAGCTGCCACAGACTAAACTTACCAAAGTCGTGGTATACCTTCCCTTGGTTGTGTGGGAATTCGCCAAATTCCTTGGCATCCTTGTCTTCCAAGTGCACAAGTTGAAGCACCAGTGGCCGACGAGTGACGATGCCCGTACCCCGTGGCAAGAAATCTTTGCCAACCACAGCCTCCAGGACGGAACTCTTGCCCGAGCTCTGCACCACAGCAGCACTTCGCCAAGATCGTCAGGCCGAAATTCACGAATTCGCCTTCACAACAAAATGCAGGGCGCCTTGCAGTTGAAGCTGGGCACGCGCACATCCAACCAGTTGATTCGCTCCTAAAGATCGTCAGGGCAGGATCGGGTGATTTTCGACCGCAGTACACGCCTCACGCTCTGCGCAACGTCTGTGCTCTGATGTTTGGGCGGCAAACCGCCCAGGGGCGCCGGTGGAGATCCCGTTTCGATACCCAAGAGCGGGAGTCGCGGCCAACATGCGAGCGTCGATCACACCCGTACGTGCTGCAGGGTGGCCGGGACATACCTCGATGGCGGATTTCACAACCACCAATAAAGGTTTTTTGCTCCCCTCGCAGTGTGGACCCTCTGAAATGCCGCGGGCAGCGAAAAACAGACGCTGGACTCCGGATCCCGAAATCCTCCAAGCGCCGAGCCTCAATCTCATTCTGATAACCCATTCAAGCACAGTTCCCCGCAGCCGCCCATCCCCCACTCCCCACTGCCCACGACGCACAAGGCCCCACCCATTCAGCCCCCCCCCCTCCCCCGCACCCCCCCGGTCCCTAATCCAAACAACCCCCTCCTCCTCTCCTCCCACCGGCTCCCCCCACCCCACCCCACCCCACCCCCCCCACACACCTGGCCTCCAATCACGACGATGCTCGGAAGGCGCTCCCACAGCGACGGCAGCGCACGCGGCCCATCGTCCCCCACAGTGTCCCCCAGCACCGTGCACGCCGCCTGCAGACGGCTGACCAGGCTCACGACGTTGTCCATGGCCCCTCCTCAACTCGGCCCCGCCGGTCCCACCCCCTGCAAACTCCACGCCCCGCGCCTCCCCGCGCCTCCAACCCGCCGGGCCAATCGCCGATCGCCGGTCCCCTCCTCCGTCCGGGATCGGGAAGATCCTTTCGGCGGCAGAGCCTTCTCCGCCCGAGGCAGGCTGGAGATTTGCAGACGCTGGGCGGGGACGGGGGGGGGGTCGGGGGGGGGCGGCGCTGAGGGCGGAGACGCGAGCGGCGAAACGGGCGACCTCGGTGGCGCGGTCGATGCAGCGCAGGAAGGCGGTGCCGGGATGGGGTGGTTCGCGCAGTACTTAAGCGTGTACTCTCGGGGTGCAGTGGAAGGGCAGTGCGCCGTTCGGTCACACTTTCGCTGGGGCGCCCTTGGGGCCCCGTATCCCATTGGGTGCGCACGGGTGTGACTGTTTTTCCTGGTTTTTGAGTGATTCGGTGTGGGCGCAGCCGGGTCGACAGCGCCAGGCTGCCCGGCCGCCGTCGGGGAGGAAGCGCCGCAAATGGGCGGTGGGGGGGAGGCGCGTCGGGATCGCGGGGGCTTACGGGGCGGCCGGGGGCGCTGCTCTCCTGGGGAGAATGTCGCCGGGTCGCCCCGCCCCGCGCGAAATGGAGCCGCGAGGCGCGTGGCACGCGGAGGGAGGACGCGTGCTGCCCCGGCCCTTGGGCTGAATTTCGCCCGTCCACCCACGCAGATGCCAACATCTGCCGCGTGTCGGACACCCACACCCAGCACACCGCGCGAAAGCAGAGCATCGCCCCCCGGCCCTTGGCCGTCGCGACCGACACGGCTGCTGATCGACGCCGCGCTGGGCTGGAAGGGGACCGGGGGCGGGGCGGCTGAAGGCCCGGCGGCGGGGGCCGAGGGCGCGGGAAGGGGGCCCCTCCCGCTGCCGGCAAGGGCGCTCGCTCCCCCCCTTGAAGGCCGCTCGGACTTTGCGCAGATTTGCCACCAGAACCTTCGCTGGCAGGCAGGTTCGGATGGCAAGTCCCCACACGGAGACATCATAATCATCAGGCATTCGTACATACTATTCGTACATAGTATCGCACACGGAGACCCACTCACACAGACGCCAGCACACGTGCACGCCCACCACACACGCCCATACAGGTGCCCGCGTTGAGGGGCCCCTGTCACAGACCTTTCGGCGAGCCCCCCAGCCGCTGTCACTTGCGCCTGCCCCGCGGGTCGCAGCGGCGAAGCTGAGGCGCGGCGGGCAGCAGCCCGGCGCCGCCGCCGGCGGGCGCCCCGGGAACGCTGCTGCCAAAGGCGGTCGAGGAAAGTGGAGTCGCTGCGGATCGCGGGGAAGTGGAGCACGATGGGGGTGCCACAGATGACACCACCGAAGGACGGGGTGAGGCACCGCGTGCCGCGGCGCAGGCGGCACCCGGAAGCGCGACCGAAACTACCGCGGTTTGAAAATTTCCAAAACTGCTGCCAGTGGGCGGATTGGCCGGTCCGTGTTGTTTGTTTGTGCGGGCCCGGTCGGCGGTGTGGGCGGGGAGCTGGGCGCTCAGACGGGCCTCGTTCTGCTGCAGATGGGCGGCGCGTACCTCTGCTTCGTGGTGCTGGGAGCGGGCGTCCTGGCACCGTGGAACGCGTTCATAACGGCTGTCGACTACTTCGCCAAGGTGTACCCGGTGAGTGGGCGGGCGGCGACTGACGCCGCGCAGTAGGGATGCCGCGGGAGGTGGCGGGGGGAAAAGGGTGAGCAGGAAGAGGCCACGGAGGCCCTCGCCGTGTGGTGATCAATGGCCTGGGTGAAGCTGCTGGATTAATGGAGCCGGAGGTTCTTGGAATTTCCTTCAGCTTCTGGGAGGCGTAATGCCGGCGGTCGTGCAGGGTGCGTTCTGGGTGCGCGAATTCGGCGCAGCGGTTCATGTCCGCTGTTGTCCGCTTCGGTTTTCAGGGGTACTCCCGAGCAACGCCAGGGCGGGTCCCGAAGCAATGGTGCGGAAGGCCCTGCACCGTTCGAGGCCCTGTCGATTGCCGTCGATGGTATTGAAGGCTGCGAGCGAACAGCGGCCTTCATGTTATGGTGTGGAACAGCGTTCAGATCCAATTCTGAACCTAGAAAGAAGGAGTAAGGCTCTGAGAAAGCAGGCTTGCTGTATCACCAGAAGCAGGGCGCTGAGGAGCGTCTTTGTTGGTCCAGGGGGAGCACATGGATCGCAAGGTGACAGTGTGCTACATTCCAGCGCTGGTATTGACGATGCTGCTTACGATTCGATTCCACAACTTGCTGTCCAGCCGGTTTCGGATGCTTGTCGGATTTGGAGGTTTCAGCATCCTGCTATTTGCAGTGCCAGTGGTGAGTGTGAACGCCTTGATCACCAGTTTGCTCAATTTTCTTGGTGAAACTCAGAACAAAGCTCATTTTGGTTTGGAGTCTGTTGGCGGGCGATGGTGCCTGCGGCCTCAGTCGTGAGATAATATTGCTCTGTGGAACTTGTCTTGCCAATTAAGTACAGTTGCAGGCAGTTCTTGAAGCTACTCTTCTGTGCAGCATCTGCCCTCCCAGGCTGCGCGCCAAACTCGATGTTGCCAGGACTTTAGTTAATTCCATTAAGATTGCAAGTCATGAACAGGCACCCTTGCGAGGAAATGAGGGAATGACAGATGGCCCCATGGCCGTCAGAAGGTACACTTAGGGTGATGGTTTACTTGCCACAATGGCCACTCACCAAGAGGATTGAGCAATGTGGTTGTGTCTTGTTGCTTGCCAATCTTTCACTGCAGCAGACCATGTTGCAGGTATTCTCGTGTCTCTTGAGCTCTGGCTGACATTCCTGTCCGGCATCTAGATGTTCGCTATAGTTTATTTTGATGCCTGACCTTGTTGTATGCAGGTCGACGCCCTCTTTGTGAGAGATTCAGCAGCCCCCCCCGTTGCCCAGTACTTGACCTTAGCAGCAGTGTTTGGGACGGGAATCCTGGATGGGGTGGCTCAGGGAGCCGTCCTTGGTGATGCATCATATTTACCAGGGAGATATCAACAGGTGGGCACCATGAAGGCAGCTGTGGACGCACCAGAACCAAACTTTGGTTCAACAAAGTGGCCCGTGCATATTTTGCTGCCAGTGTCAAAAGACATTTGTTAATTCTGCTCCGTGCAAAGCATGTTCGATTTTAATTGTGCATTGTTGCCAGGTTTGGAACCCGGACACTGCCCGTGGGCATAGCTATGCTTGCAGAAAGCTGTTTGTTTCTCACCACAATTCGACCCAGTTTGGTGCACTTGTCTACTGTTTCATTTTGGGTCGTTTAGAGAGGGCAATACTAGCACTTGAAACACAGGGACCTTCATTTTGCCAATGATTGTGCATTGCAACGGCATCTGATCTAACAGGTTTTTCCAATACTTCTGTGCACTTCATGGCATACCTGTGAGGTGGAAGAGTCCCACTGACAGGTGAAATCTTCTTCTTTCCAGGCGTTCTCAAGTGGAACGGCTGCCTCGGGTGTGCTTGTGTCCCTTCTGCGAGTTTTTACAAAATTCGGTTTTGGCGACAGCTGGGTCGGCCTCAGACGAAGCACAATGCTCTACTTTATTACTGCCCTGGCTGTGACTTCCCTCTGCTTCTTCCTGGCAGCTTATGTTGTGCCCAGACTCCCAACAGTGGTGTACTACCGTGACCTGGCAAGGGCCTTTGAGACTGGCTCAGGTGTGTCATTCATCACCCAGTCATGCTTTCCTTGCATTTCCCTCAGGAGACAGTCACAGGGCACCGCCCTTCCACCAACGGGGGCATGAAAGGCACTTGGGCCTCTTCACATGTGTTGTTCTGGTATGTTTGTGGGTTTCAAGTCCTGAAGAGGTCCAACGTAGGGGGCTGGGCTGGCAGTGAACAACAATTCATAGCTTCAGCACAGTGGACGCTGTGATGTAGCTGCTGGAATTCATTGATTCCCGTACACCCTGATTATGAGCACAGATTGGCTGTCCTCGTCTGTATGGGTGCAACTTTTTTGGCCCACTCGTCCCATGGGAGATAGTGAAAGCAAGCATCTGCATTGGGTCAAAAGGGTGGAGCCTTGTATCAACACTTGTCCCTGCACTGTGTCAGTACTACCTGTGCATGTGAAACGGAGATCATTGTCTTTTGTGAGATATAATGAAAGAATCTGGAGACGATACTCGTTTGCTGTTGTATTCCGTGGCTGCAGGCGTCCTGCCAATGGAACTTGATGTAGGAGGTGATCTGGTTGTTGCTAATGATGGCACAGAGGATGGGAACTTGGCTCTGGTGCCAGGTAGCCAGAAGAAGGCCGACTACCTGCACGTTACTTACAAATTGAGGCACGTCATCATTGGTCTCGTAATGATCTACACAGTGACACTTACTATATTCCCTGGCGTGGTGGCGGAGGATGTTCATGTGAGTGCCCTTCTCACTCGTGTTTGACGTTCAAAGACAAATTTGAATTCTTGTTGATACCACCTTTTCACCTCTCTCTGTTGTCTTCTTGAAAATCCCTAAGCTATGTTTTTGCAGAACTGCACTTTTTCTTTGCTCGATTTGCACTGGCACAGTTTGCATGTTGGTATCCAAATTTCTGTATTTGGTCAGAAGCATATTGTTGAAAGAGCGATTGTTCACTCTAGTTGAGGTACGAATCTATTCCAAAGGGACTTGAACAACCTCGACACAAGAACAACTATTGAAACACTGCTGAACTTGATGGCCAGTACAGTCACCAGGAGGACGATGCTGACAGAACGCCTGCGTGCCCGTTCATGCAGTCTGGCCAACTGGGAGATTGGTACAACGTCCTGCTGGTCTTGGTCTACAATTGTGGCGACTTGGGTGGAAAGTCGCTCCCAGCTGTGACAGGCATCATCAGGAACCGGCTGCGGCTCATGGCATGGTGTGCAGCCCGGTTTGTCTTCCTGCCAATCTTCTATGTTGCTGTCATGATCTGGCCAGATGGGCACCCTGGCATCATGGCCCTCTTGGTGCTTGTGCTTGGGCTGTCGAATGGCTTTGTCACCTCGAACGCCTTCATGGTGGCTCCACGAGGTTTGCAGGGTCAGGAGGTCGATTTGTCAGGAAGTCTGTTAGTCTTTGCCTTGGCGATCGGCCTCCTGATTGGAGCTGGGGGGGGCTGGCTTTGGTTGCTTGCGGAACGTTAGCAGGCAAACCACAGGCATTGGCTGTGAATTTGGGTGGTATTTGTGCAGGGTACAAGAGACATGAAACATATGATGCAGATTGACTTTGCTCAGGGTAGGAGAGGAGCAACGCATGAGGCACAATAATGAGCTTTTTCATTGTATGGATATTGGCTGCAGTACTAGAACATGGATGGAAACATGAGTTTTCTTTTTCTTGGGAGAGGGAAGGGTTTTTGGGACTCGGGGGAAAGGGATTCTGTATGGCATTGAATAAACAATGCCATACGATCAACAGCAATGGTCTGGGATCGATGCCCAACATCGCCTCAGAGGTGCAAGGGCAATGTTTTTCATGTTTATTTGACAAACGTAATCATCGGATTTCAAAATGTATGCATATCAGAACATAGGGCATCATGGTTGGGCATTAGCCATAGGACCGTCGGCAGGGCAGTTGTGGCCGTCGGATTGGGGAGACTGCATGAGCCGCATGAGCTGCTTGTCATGTGGCAAGGTTGCTCGCGTATGGCTGTCCTTGCCTTGACGATGACGATTCGCTTTTCGGACCAGCAAACATGACCAAGGTGCCAGATCAAACGTGTAACTTGTGTAACATATCTTGCACAAAGAGCAGTGAGCCTTGTCTGCCTCGTGCACAGCAAAATCGGATGCTGATACTGGACGGCATGGCCCACGTCCTTGCTGTTCGGCCTGGTCGCATGCACTGACATTGCTGTCTGAGCATGTTTGGGTGATTCAACCATTTTCCCAATGGGCGAAGAGTCTTTCTATTAGTAAAGTCTAGATTACAGAACGTCACTTCACATGCCAAAGTCTGAACGCCACCTTTGTACGAACAGAAGATATGAGGGCCGAGAGCCAAACACAAGAAAGTGCTAGGCGATATGAAGCCCAAAGTACCGAAAGTCTGGAAACTAGTACGCAGCCTCCAAAAAAAGCAGCAGGGCTCCTGCGCAGGTGCCTGTTGTCTCAAAAACGCAACCAACAACCAAGGGGATGGCAAACAAACAAACAAACCAAGGGGATGGACGGACACCCGTGCAACAAATTCATCACAATCATGCCCCGCGAAAACGGGACCCAGGGGCGCACAAACGGACCTGGAGCCCTCCAGGGCCTTGCCTCCGAGCTGCTCAAGAGGGGCCACCAGATGCGCGTCACTGCCTTCCGTCGCGCTGCGCTCCCCGTCCTCCAGCACGCCAGCGACTCCGCAGCGGTGTCCAGGTACCCTCCCCGCCGCGCTTGACACCGCGCTCGGCGCATGGGCGCCACATTTTGCCGCCGTGCTAGCGAAGTCCACGCTGAGAAACCGCCAGGTCTCGCAAGCCTGTCCCTCATCGTGATCCCTGCTGTTCACGTCTTCATTGGCGAGGCTGCGAAGTCTTCTCCTGTGAAAGGGCTTCTTCGGAGAGGGCTTCGAAGTCTTCGCAGTCCTCTTCTGTGAAAGGGCTCCTTCTGAGCCCCTTCATGTCGCGCCGTGACCCCCGCCGTAGCCGTTGAGCGGGGGCGGCCGCCAGCCATCCAGCGCGCCTTCCCGCGGCTGGTGGACCTCCACCCGGAGCGGGTAGCACCGCGCGCCGTCGTCGGAGTGTCCCGCGCCGCAGTCGCCCCCCGCGCACGCCGACAGCGCGGCGATCAGGTCGATCTCCGCGAAGAATTCGATGAAGTCGCCAGCGCGCGCGGGGCTGGCCTTCATGAAGTACCGGTGGGCGTCCCGGCTGAAGCCGGTGCACATGAACACGTTCAGCACGTCGTGGATGCGGGGCTCGGCCTGGGCGGCTGGGATGCCCAGGTGCTTGGCGAGCGCACGGGTGAGATTGGAATGGCAGCACCGGTGGTAATCCACGCCGTCGAGCAGGAACTTGGTGTAGGGGTCGCAGCGCGTGCCCACGACATCGTGCACGCCGGCGCCGTCGTCGTCCCAGCCGTACCAGTCCAGGGAGTCGCGGGTGATGGTAGCCATAGGCCGCAGGGCGGGCAGGCTGCTCCACAGGCGGTCGCCGGCGGTCACGTGGGTGGCGTGCAGCGCGCGCGTCTTGCCGCTGTAGAACCGCTCCGACAGGTCGGCCGCATTCCACAGGTTGAGGTCGCCCACCTGGGGCCCCTGCGTGCAGACGATGCGGAAGAAGTGGCCCATGGGGACGTGGAAGGCGGTGGCGTCCCGGGGCGGGACGTGGATCTCGGCCAGCAGTGTCGTGTCCCGCCGCGCATGGTCGTAGAAGGCTGAGTCGAATGGGGGCAGGTGATCGGCGTAGACGGCGACAGGGGGGGCGCGCCGTCGCTGCGCCGCGTCCGCCGGCGGCGCGTTGCTCGGGGGCCTCGCCATGCTGGTGCCCCTCTCAATGCCCAGACACCCGACAAACCATGTCAAAAAGAGAAAAGGCCTGGAAAAACCTGGGAAAAAAGAGAAAAAGCCCGGAAAAACATGTGGAAAAAGAGAAAAGCCTGGAAAAACCTTTGGAAAAAGAGAAAAAGGCAGCCGTCGGCCCGTTGTGCCAGTAGTTAGAGGCGACATGCGGAGGGCGAAAGCCTGAAAATCAAAGAAAGTGGCAACATACTGTACAGTACAGTAAGTGTACAGTACAGTACAGTACAGTAAGTGGCAACAGTACTGTTGGGTGGTTCCAGTGCTGCGGGGAAGCTGGGGGAGGCTGTGCCGAAGCTGCGCAGGCGGCGTTCGAATATAGGCACAGGAAGGCGACCCGAGAAAGCTGCGAGCTGACCTGATTGTCGAAGTTTGCTCGCGGCGAAACCACCGGCGCCAATCGACGGCAGACGCGCTGCGCTCTTCATGGACTCGGACCCGGAGCTGCCGGGCGGAGGTGCGGTCTCTCGCGATCATGATGTTCGCCTGGTCGCAGATCGTCGAGCGCGGGATGCGCGAGGCCGTGGCGGGCGCGATCTGACGCTCCCGGTGCCGCTGGCGCAGCCGGCGATCGGAACGAAGACGTCTCGGGGCAGCGGCGGCCGTGCCACAGCGAGGGCGCAGGCAGGGATGGCCGGAAGCGCGACAGGGCGGAAGCGGAGGTTGATTGCGCACCGACCAGCGGCTCGGCAGCCGCCGGGACGAATGGGCAGCATTGGTGGCGCGGGAAATCATCTGCGCCTTCGGCAGCACCGCCGGTGGCCCGGGGGCGCCCGGCGCCCAGGGAAGGCCGAGAAGGCTGGACGGACCTCGGGCACGGCTCATGGGTGGGATACTGGAAGTGCTGCTTCCCTCTCGAGGCGGACATCTTCGCCAGGCTGCAGGGCGAGGTCAAATGGCTGCAGAGGGACGTGACGGTGCGGGGCAGAAAGATCCCGCAGCCTCGCCTGACCGCCTACATGGCGGACGCCCCCGGCCTGGCGTACACCTACTCCGGCCTGCGCCTGGAGCCCGTGGCCTTCACGCCGACCGTGCTGGAGGTGAAGGCGGAGGCCGAGGCGCGGTCCGGCGCCGCCTTCAACTGCTGCCTGCTGAACTGCTACCGGGACGGGGGGGACAGGATGGGCTGGCATTCGGACAACGAGTCGCTCTTCGGCGAGCGACCGACGATCGCCTCCGTGTCGTTCGGCTGTCGCAGGGACTTCC